CAGAGAAGGCCCTCCTCCGGGGCCCCGCCAGCCGACATTCCCTTGCTGACGGGGTCCGCAATGTGCCCCCTCTGCCTGACCGGGCAGGACGGGTTTATGTGACAGGGTGAGACGGTACAGGGCTTGCATTTAATACGTAGCGGTTGCTGAAATTCTTTCATAATGGTTTCATTATTTTCCTGCGATAAATCTACTTACCAGAGCTTCTGTCCTAGAAAGTCTATTTGTGTCCGTTTCTTGTCTAACTAGTCAAGAGAAGCTCAACAGGGTCCCTTCCTTCTGATGTTGTCTCAAGCAGGACTTTGGAAGTGCGCCTTCTTTGTGGCGGCCCGTGCCCTGTGAAGCACCCTCTGCCCAGAGATCTGGCAGGCCCGCACCCTCCTTGCCTTCCGGAAGGCCTCCAGGAGTGGCTGTTTCCACAAGCGTTGGAGAAGGTGAGGACACACTGAGGAGTGGGAGGGGGTTGCCCTGGGGCACCAGGAATTTTTATGCTGGTTTGGGTTTTTTACTGTTTTTATTGTTTTGTGAGCTGCCCAGGGTTGTGGTTCATAATATGGGTGCCTATATAAGTCTCTCAAATAAAGAAATAGAGAAGCAAAATGCAGAAGATGTCGACCTCTACTGCTGGAATACCTTCTGTCCACTTTCTAGGTATTCTGTTGGGAGATTAATCTGTTTTCTAATCCTTTTTCATCTAAGGCTCATGATTTTCCTTGCTGCTGTCCTTCTTTCACTCTAAGTTTCTGTCACTTATTTTCTTTTCTTCCATGTCCATTTCCCCCGTGATCCACTTCTGACATGACTAAAAAATTATCTGTTCACAAACAGAACTTCTCATCCCCCTCGGATCCTTCACCAACTCTCTCAATCTTTTACCATAAACAACCCAATCAATCAAGCTTTCAGATTTATATTAATTCCTTGGACATCTGAACATATGAGTAGGGATATGTTTACACCACGTACTCAAAACAAACAGCTCTTTATCTAAACACATCCCTGCCAAACGGCCCCCGTCCTCATTCATTCCAGGGTGTGATGGAATGGAATGATGAAGGCCAGGCTCAGGGAGATAAGCATTTTCTTAGCTCACTGCAGGAGCGTGGGAACTACAAGAGGATGGGGCTGGCACCTCCCTGAGGAATACACACTGTTGTGGCTGGAGGACTTTGGGACTTGGGGTTTCAGTCTGGGAAGATTCTTGCTAGAGGTTGTAGCTAATAAAC